ACTGGTCATATTTAGTATGCCCTAACCTTATATATTGCTTCTGAAATATTACAATCTGAATTTACTTACTTACCACATTCTTTTGCAATAGAGCTAGGAAAATTCAAAAATCAAAGACCAAGATTCCAGTCTTTTGAATATTTAAGCAGCCAGATGTAGTGTACCACAACACATCACATCACACCACACCACACCACACCACACCACATCACACCACACCACACCACACCACACCTATAATCCCAGCACTGAGGAGGCTGAGGCAAGAAAATTCAGAATTTATGGCCAGCCTAGGCCACAGTGAAATCCTGACTTTAAAACAAACAAAACAAAACCACACTTAATCACAAAATATTGGGATCAGTCACATATACATAGAGCTCTGGACACCTTAAACATGAGAAGCCACAAAAAAAGAGGAAAAGAACAGAGATTATGAGTGCAAGTAGACCCCACTATGTGTAAACCTGGGCACCGTTGTTCTTTTACTGTGTGCCCTTGAACAAACAACTTGGTTTGCCTTCTTCATCTTTAAAATGTAAATTATATTAGCAGTCACCTCAAAGAGTTGCTGTGCAGAGCGAACAAATTACATATCCAGAGAACATCCAGAGTCAGTCCCATATTATGCATTTAGTAAATGTCTGGTACCTCCAATTGTCACTGTCATCCTTCTCCTCATCATTATACAAAGATTCAGTCTTCAAATCCACCATGACTATGAACTGAGTTTCTCAGGACCACATTCCAACCAAAAGAGGGTGCTGGGTGGGTATTGCTTTTCTAGTAATGAAACAAATGCAAAAGACAATTTGATCCTTAGAGAAGTTTTTATGAAAAAAAGAAAGAATTAAAGAGCTTTAAAAAGCAAGCAAATCATAATTACATAACTATTTTTAAATACTACCTCCATTCTTGTCTAAGAAACAAGCCCTAATTTATTTATTCTTTACTTCTGATTTCCATACTCATTTAATAACAAGATGAGAGACACATTAGTGGGAGGTTGTAATTGCAAAAGTAGCAATAAAGTTAATGGCAACATCAAAAACACTGTACACATATAAACACCAATATTAAGGCAGTTTGAAATATCAAACAATACAAGTTAACATTACATGTGAATGAACCATAAATTCAAGATCAATGGCCTGATTTTTACTCCACAAAAAATAAAAGGAGGGGCTGGAGAGATAGCTAAATGGTTAGGAACACTTGCAGAGGACCTTGCAGAGGACCCAGGTTTGAGACCCAGCACCCATATAGCAGCTAGCAACCATCCATGTCTCCAGGTCTAGGGGCTCTGACACCCTCATCTGACCTCCATGGCCACTGCAGGACGTGGGTGCACTTACATACATGCAGGCAATACACTTATACGCACAAAATATTTTTAAAAATAAGAAAGAAATCTTTTTAGAAAATCATTCCTAGGTAGTCCGTAAAGAATGATTAATTCATAAAACAGCAGTTTTAGAAATGAACAAATTGTTCCATCCTTCACAGAAGATTGTCAAGGAGTGGGAACTCATGCCTCAAGACATTGCTTCCTGCCCTCTGTCCAATCTACCTGTGAAACTATCTGTGTGCATAGAAATAATGTAACTACAATTTTCATTACAGTACATAGAAAACATAGACCCCCATAATGTTTGCAAAGAAGGCTAGGTATCAACTGTGGCCTAGAATATTTCCCCTTCTGTGAAGGATGTGCAATTAGAAAACTATTAAGTTTTCCAGGTGTCAAGGACCCCTCTTCTTGAGGTACCCTTAGCAACCCAAGCACAACATCCAAAAGAGAACAAGAGAATGAAACCGAGAAACATCTGAGAAGGACCCTTGGCTATCATGTCCAGCAGACATCTTTGGTAGGTTTATTGAAGCTGTGGACCACCTCCCTTCAAGACGAGCAGCCCCACCTTAGTGCCTGCTTGTAAACCCTGGAGCGGGCCCTAGAAAAATTAGGGAAAACCAGGCATAACAGGCCTACTTGCATCAAAAGAATTCAATGTTAGAGTTGTGATCAAATCTAAACAGACAAAATCTGGGTTGATTTCTTGACATACTAGAAGCAACTTTTTCTCTCTCCCAATTAGATATCTTCACATGAATGAGAAAATTGTGAATGGGTGGGAGGGGACAGAGAAGAGAAAAGGACACTTCATATAAATGCAGCTAGCAAAGATGCTAAGACTGTGCATTTCATAGTGACCCAGGTATATGATGCAACAACTAATTCTTGATTTTCTCAAATGCATGGTTAGGGAAAGAAAACTGACCTTGCGTGATTTTCTAAGGCCTAGAGATCACACACACACACACACAGATACCTAGCATGGTGCCAACCACACAGCAAGCATTCACTAAAACACATCGGCTGTTATTATGAGTCTATTCACTCATTAATCAAGTAGTATTTATTAACCACTAACTGTGGTGTTTAACATTGGGTTTTTAATATTGAACAAGTCAGATGAAGTGGTATCTTCTTTTGGTCAGCAGTCTAATAAAAGCTAGATAAAAAAAGCTGTCGGCGGTGGGGTGGGGGTGCTGGAGAGATGACTCAGCAGTTAAGAGCACCTACTGCTCTTACAGAGGACCTGGGTTCAGGTCCCAGCACCCACAAAGTGGCTAACAATCATCTTTGACTCCAGTTCCAGGGAATCCAGTGCCCTCTTCTGACCTCCATGGGCACTGCATGACATGGTTGAACCTAACTAACTACATACAGGAAATATACTCATACACATAAAATTAAAATAATGAATAAAATATTTTACAAAGCTTCCAGGGTATGGTGGAAACCCCTAGGAGTGACTTTGGAAATCAGAAATGGCTTTTGGGTAGTGGCGAAATGGATCAGTGGATAAAAGCACTTGTTGAGCAAGTCTGATGACCTAAGTTTGATCCCTAGAACTCATGGAAAGGTGGAAGGAGAGAACACACTTCACAAAGTTGTCCTCTGACCTCTACATGCATGCCTGCATTCATAGGTACAAAGGATGGACACATACACACTCACAAAAATAATATTAATAAAGCTTGAAAAAAAGAAATAATTTCTTAGGAGAACTAAGATTTGAGATGATGCATAAAAAATGGCAGAGGTTACCTGGGGATGAGATTGGGGAAGAAGGTGACCAGAAGAAAGACCTGGGAGGAAATAGCTGTCTGGAGTTCAAGAGTGGAGCTGGTTTTTGTTTTTCTTTGTTTTGCTTGTGCTAGAGATCAAACCTAGGGCTTCATATATTCTAGGCAAGCACTGAGCTTCATCCTCCCAGCCCTTAGTGTTTTGAGACAGGTTTTGACTATGCAGTTCAGACTGGCATTGAACTTGCTATGTAGCCCAGTCTGGCCTTAAAATTTCACTCCCTCTTCTTATACCTTTCAAATGCTGGGATTACAGAAGGGTACCTCCATACCTGGCCAAGGACAGAGCTTTGAGAGTACATGTTAAGGGATGAAGCTACAGAGTTGGGAGAGGGCTCATAAGCTAAGTTCAGGCCTAGCACTCAGGAGGTGAGGCCAGTGTAGTCTACATAGTGAGTTCCAGGCCAGCTGGGGCTACATAGTGAGATCCTGTTCCAAAAACAAACAAAAAACAAAAACATGTTCAGAATTTAACCTTCATATCACACTATACTAACAAATGACAGTGTCAAGGAGTCTAGATACAGATGACATGTGGGCAAGCCAAATTAGGCTTGCTTATTTAAAGGGTAAAGAAGGAAGCCAGGAGAGTTAAGGAAATAGCACTGTTCTCCAAGGACCAAATTTAAGCTTCTGACTGCTAAATTCTGTATGATAAGGAGCAGAGCTAACCATGAAAATGTGAGTGATTCTCTGGAGACCTAATTGTCTCCTCTAGGTTTAGTTCATGAACATACACTGCAGCAGTTCTTGGTGTAGACCTATCTGGGGACATATCAAGGGAAGTCACAGCTAGTGTGCCTCATCAACCTCAATGTCACACCTGCCTTACCCTCAGCCCAACCCCTCTTTCCTTACCCTCAGCCCAACCCCTCCTAGGTTAAGTCAATCTCTGAGTTCAGTGCTGCAGAACCAAGGCCACCACTCCCAGAAGCCTCGTGGACAGCTGCTACGCATCTCTAGGCTCCACTCCAAGGGCAACGTTCAGCTACCCTCTGGAAGTATGAAAGGAAGTAATGACATAACTTGAATTGTAGAACATAAAACAAAAGAATTCTGCCTGAAAGGAAGGAAGGAAGTCAAGAAGAAACCTGGAAAGCAGGTAAGAGGTAGCCCAAGATTAGCATAGCAACAGGGGACAAAAAAGCAGTGCACAGAGTTACAATAGCCATTTAGGGGAGGAATTGACAAGATTTGAGAATGGCTTGCTGTGTCACACCAACATATGAATCTTTGGATTCCAATGAGTCAGTAAGTTTAGGTAATGTACTAGTAACAAACTACAAAGTGTCTTAAAATGCTACAAACGTATGCTCCTATAGTTCTGGAGGACAGAAATCCAAAATCTGCTTCACTGGGCTAAAAGAAAACTGTTAGAAGACTATAGATCTAGAATCTCTAGGGAAGAACTTGTTTCTTCTGCTTTTGAGGTTCATATTACTGCCTATATTCCTTGGCTTTTGGTCACCTACTCCATCTTCAAAGTGCACCTTTGGATCATTCCAAAACTGCCCTTCCAGTATCACATTTCCTT